CACTCAGAGCTGCACGGGGATGGCAACTCCATCCATCCCCACGTCTGCTGTCCTTCCAAGGGCTCTCAAAAAGAAGGGAAACAGCTTTATTTCGGTTTGTTCCTTGCCGGTGGAGCCCCTCTGCGGTGCCAGCTCCGTCCCTGTCCGGTGTTAGCAGAGGACGTTGGAGGAGTATTTAAGGAGCACTTGTTAATCACATTATTTTCTCCACAGGTTACAAGGGCGGCTGAGATTTAAACAAAAGTGCCTGAAAGAGCTGCCTGAGCGAGGGTTTTTGCGGCAGAAAGGCAGCGGCTCCGGCGGCGGGAAGGGGCTGCCCCGCTTGCTTTGGCAAAGGAGCCGGGGCTTTCAAAGTCGTTCCAGTTTTCTGCTTCCAGCTGGATAAGGAGAGGCAAACTCTGCCAGCATGAAAATTATTGAAGCTAAAATAACCAAGGTAAGCCCCAAACAAAACTCTGTCAGGTACAGAGGCACGTGAAAGCCGGGTAATGGTTTGCAGTGAAGGATGGAGGGATGGCAAGGGTCTCAGCTGGATCTGTCCCCCTCTGCGTCCAGAGGATTTGGTCCAAGTTCACCTTTATGCGGGTTGTTACTCTGAGGACTGTATGGCCACATACAGATGCAGATGTCAGCCAGGGTTAAAATCCACCCTAAGCCTCCCGAGATGCTGAACCGGAGTGATGTGAGCAAGCGTAGATGAGCTCCTCAGCACCAAATTAGACTGCCCAGAGCAAATTGCTCTTAGCACCGATGTACCAACGCCAAAAGAGACCCTCTATCGCCGTGCAAAATGCTCCTGCGGCACTGTCACGCACGGACGGGCAGGAGTGACATTGCCCAGCTGCAGGCCACCTCCCTCTCCCAGCTCCCCCGGACCAGGCAGCGCAGCCCGGAGGGTTACGAAGCTCCTCCACTGCCGGCGTGGCCAAACCGGCAGCCCCAAACCACCCCGACACGGTGGGAGGCAGAGCCAAAACGTCTTGAAACTGGGGGGTCCCCAAACCCCACGGTACCGCAGCAGACCTGCAAAAGCCCTCAAGCTTTGATGGCAATTAGGATGTGGCCTTCCCACAGGAGGGAAATGTTAGGAAACCTCAACCCCAGCCAATGAGCAGCCAGAATGTGTTAAATTTAAGCTACGTTACTTAGAAACGTGTATTTCCCCGGCCACAGGACCTCAGGGCAGGGCACGCTGCAATGAAGCAGCTCCCGCAGATGGTTCCAGCTTTGTTTCACAGCTCGAAAAAGCTCCAAGCCATGAATCACGGCACTTCCCGCAGCTGCTGCCCTGCCAGCCTTCCCATCACCCGGGCAGCCCTGAAATTGTGTTTCCATGTGTGCACTGGTCTGATCTAGGAAGGGATGTTGGTTAATCTGGAATTAAGTCAGATTGAATCACACACACCGATGTCAAAACTGGTTCAGGAAAAGGAAAAAAAAAAAAACAAAACAAAAAAAAAAGAAAAAAAAAAAAAAGAAAGAAGAAAAGACAACAACTTGTTTTTGAACACCCTCAAGCTCAAGATTTAGAGAGGCAGCCCCAGCCAAGCCCCGAGCAGGGCGCTGCTGGGACACGTCCCGCACTCGCTGTACGCTTACGTAAGGCTACGCGCGCGCCTGCAGCTCTCCAAACACCCCGGGCACGAAGCGAAGCTGCTCCCTCCCTGCTCCCTTCCACCCCCTTCCCATCGCCGAGGGACTCGACCCGCTCCCGTGCCCTCGCTGGCTCCCGAAAACAGCCGAGCCCGGAATGTTGGGCTCCACCTTCCCCTCCTGGAGCAAGGGAGCGGGGCAGGAATCACAGCCCGGCACTCACAGGGGAGGGAGAAGTTTGGGGTTTTTTTTTTTTAATTAGAAAACTGAGTAAAAGGTAGATTTCGCCGTGAATGCTGCCTCCCGTTCAGCCTTCACCTGCCCCGAGGAGGCCACGGGTGCGCTGGGCCAGGACGAGCGGATCCTGATGGGAAGAAACAGGAGGGGTTTTAGGATGAAGCTTTTTGCAACAGGTAGAGACCTATTTGGCATCACAGCACCAGACTACAACAGGCTAAAAGGATGTTTCGGCAACCAATGCACTTTTTCCCTGTTTATAGATGCTCAGATCGCTACAATCCCACCTCTCACATGCCAAGAGTCTGCAAAAATTCTTGCAAGCTGCCCGATACTCAGGGGACAAACTAGACGCACAGCAGCAGCATTGAGCTGACAAACAAACCCAAAAATACTCCCTTTTATGTTGACAGACTGCTCCAACCTTTGCCCTTCCTGTTCCCAGCTGTGTTTGCAGACGAGGCGAACCTTTCATTGCTATTGCTCAAACGTGCCTTCCCCACTGCAGAATTTGCCCTCGTCTTGACCGAGGGCAGGATCTCGGCCAGACAAAGATGCTGAGGGCGGGTTTGGGAGGCTGGTACCAGACATCGGCCTGGGATAGGATGAGGGGTGGATCCTTTCGACCAAACTCGGGTGGCCCATGAATGCACCTCATCACTCGACATCTCCTAGAGGGTAGATAATAAGAGCTGTGGGCAAAGACAAATATTTAGGGGGGGGATGAACGTGGGTGCCGCAATCCCTCCTGAGAAGAGAGCGGGCTCCCGGCTGACACAGAGCTGGTCCGATGCCGCTGTAGCATTAAGCACCCATTGCACCGAATGCAGGCTCCTCCTGGGGCAAAGACCTTCGCAGGCAGGCGGAGCATTTAAGGCAAGTGGAAATCGGTAGAAATTTGGGATTTGAACGATAAACCGCCTTATGAGCCAGAGATGTTTTACCGCCACGGAGCCTCGTGCAAAGCTGGGAGCACTCATCGGTGTGCTCTGCCGTGCAGCCGCTCGCTCAGGCCAGACGTGGGTTTGAGGCAGCTCTGCTCGTCCTCTTCTTGGTCTGAAGAAGCTACTTCTTGAATTTAAATCCCTCATAAGCTCTCCTTCGGGGGGCATTAAGGTCAAAAATATGATTTAAAGAACTTCATCGAACTCTGATGTGAAGAAAAGCCCCAAAACTCACGTAAGGAGTTCCGATGCAATGTATTTCTTCCCCTCCGCTGTCAGATGGCTTTGAAGATGCCCCACTGCCAACGCTCCCGCCTGAAAAGCAGCGCTTTAGTGCCCTGCCCTAGGCTAAGCCTGGCAGATCCCACCTGCGCCGGAGCAAGGGCACCGCGGTTCGCTCCCCCCCAGTGCACGGGTGTATGCGTGCCCTGCCTTCCGATGCAGCTCCTGCTGCCTCCTGCGGCTTCCTAAAGCGATGGGTCAGCAGAGCTGTAGCAGACGATGCAACACGGGCAATGAAGGGTAGTAACAGTCACAGAAAAGCGAATCGGAGAAAGAGGCAAACGGACATCTCGTTTTATAGTCATAACCAGACACGACACAACACACCAGTTAATTTTCCAGCTCGTACGGGGACAGAAGGGCCACAAGACCACGAGACCTTATAATGCGTTAGCCAACGCGGATTAAAAACAGGGCCAGAGGGGCATGCAGGATCCTGAGCCTATATACAAAGGTCCCGCCGCTGCCCGCGGGAGGGCGGCCTCCACTGAAACCAAGTTTCCACAGCAAAGATTGGTCTTGGTGTTACAAACCCCCACATTCGCCCAGGGACCGAGGGATGATTCCCACGGCACACGTCCCTCTTTAGGCTTCTCATTTTTTAATGGCAGGTGAATAAAATGAAAACCCAGTGAAGGATGGTTTTGCAGCCAGGATAAATGCGAGCTTTGTTTCTTGCTCTCTCCTGGGTTATTATTCCCAAGAAAAGGTACCCCGGTCCCAGCCGGCACCTCATTTGCACGGGGACCCACCGGGGCAGGACGACTTCCCTTGCACTGTGCCACGCTCATTAGCGACGCCTGGAGATGACGAATTTCTACACAAGGCTGAGCTCTGCCTTCGCTCTGTGCGGTGGGCACCCACGGGCTGTGCTATTTTCTTGAGCTCTCTCCCTCTCCCCCCAGGGACGGCACTGACCCTGCACCGGCTCCGCACGGCAACGCACGGGCTACGAGTTAAAAGCTGCCAGGGCTTTTAAACCCTTTGGAAACACCGGGCTTCCCCTGCCAATACTGACTCGTGGTTATTGCTGCGTAATACACAACCAGCCCCAAAAAAAGAACCTGTGCCCCGAGCCAGCTGCATCCCCGCATCCGTGGCTGCCCCCGTGCCCCGAGCTGGCTGCATCCCTGCATCCCTGGGCACAGGGAAGCCGCCTCCCGGGACGGAGCGGACCCCTGACACACGGGGCTCTGTCCCGATCCTGCGTGCCTCGACTCGTGGTTATTGCTGCGTAATACACAACCAGCCCCAAAAAAAGAACCTGTGCCCCGAGCCAGCTGCATCCCCGCATCCGTGGCTGCCCCCGTGCCCCGAGCTGGCTGCATCCCTGCATCCCTGGGCACAGGGAAGCCGCCTCCCGGGACGGAGCGGACCCCTGACACACGGGGCTCTGTCCCGATCCTGCGTGCCTCGACGCCTCCAAAGTGCCTGTCTCGGCGGCCTCGCCCCCGTTTTTCTTGGGCAGAGCCGGCTGCCG